GGTGGATCTGAAGAATCATCAAGCTAGCACTAAGTCTTCCTTGCCTTATGCCTGGGAAGTTGGCTGATCCACTGTGAACAAATCCTTGCTGCCCAACTCAGGAAATAAAACTGTTTTCTAAATTTATTTTATTAAAGCAGGTAATAAAATGCAGCCTATCTTTTTGAAGCAGTCTTGGGATATTACCTATATAACTGCTTGCCCACACAGAACTGTTTGTAAACCATACACACAAGCATTACCTACTTTTTATTTCAGAAATGATCTAAAAGATACCTATTCCACTAAGCTCTAAAAAAATCTGAAATATGATTAGTTTTAAAATCTATGGCTTCTATTTTAGATCTGAGAGAGGGCTTGCATATCCAAGCACCTAGTTTTCTGTACCATAACAATTAGTCTAATAAAATTATTACTACTACCAAAAAATCCTGCCCTTCCAAGATAATGTTAAAAATACCAGAATCTGAAAAAGAAAACAGAACCCATCCCTGTGCATTGTATGAATAAGTGGGTTGGGTTTCACCAGCTCCAAAAGAAAGCACAATGAAGCACAGAGCTCAGCTGGTGATACTCTGGAGACATTTTTAAGACTAAAACTAACAGCACACACCACCAAGAGGATCCTTTGAAAGGAAAGTCAGCTCAATTTTCTTGCACTTGCAACTCAAAAATGAACTGGAGCACAAACACTGAAATACACTAAAAAGAAAAAGCAACAAACCAGCACAGCGAGGCTATTTAAAATGAAAATGAGAATTTCAAAAGAAATAGCACTTACACCATCATGGTGTGCGTGTCAATGTGCAAACACACAAATGCTGGCAGAAGAACAGAGGTCTCAGAGATGCCGAGTTCTTATAAGCCTCCTGAAAACAGACAGATAGAGGAAATAAATCTATTGCAGCTTCCACTAAGAAGGGCCCAGAGGGAGCCCCACTGAATTGCTGGGTACCAAAAAGTCCACATGGGGCTTTGGTGTCTAACGAGCTGTAAACAAACCAAGTCACAAGCAAAGGCTTCATTAGTTTTGCTGCTTGTAGAACCACTGGATGTGCTTTCTGATGTGTTATTAATTCACTGGACTCACTGCCAAAAGATGCAAGCAAAGGACTTAAAAAAAAAAAACTGAATTCATGGAGAAAGCTTAAAGTATGAGAAGTTAATAATAAGTAAAAACTTGATTTTAGGACAGTAAGGTAATCATAGGAGTTAAAGAAATAACCTTGTTTATGGACACTTTGTTCGGCAGGATCTGATGCCACCCCTCCAGAGGAACAATTTTGCAATACACAGGCTCAAATCCCAGAATCACACTGCAAAAAGTAATTTACATGTCTCAGAAGTTCTGCTAGGTGATTTGAACCAATTCCTGCTCAGACAAGCCCTCTCTCACACCATACAAGTGTGACTGGCAAGATTTAAAACCTAATCACTGATCTAGCACTCATTTTCTATCCAGGTTTCATAAGAACACAAATTTTAACTATTATATGAAAGTTGTCACATATCAAGTCACAGATGTATCTTCATTCTGCCCATAATCTCTTCTTCCTTTTCTAGGCTTTGAGAACACTTGGAGCTTGGGTTTTACTCTACCCAGAGGTTGGGGGGGGGGGGTTTCTTGGACAGCTTCATTCTGGAGAAGCCCCAACTTTTGAGATTAAATTTTCTATTTTAATCAGTCATTGCCCCAGCTTGGGCCACCACCATAAGGTACTCAGGGTAATTTCCTTCACACTGAGCACTTGGGGAGGTATTCTGTATGTGGACCATGACAAGAAGCTGCATCCTCAGATAAAACTAATATATCCCAACCAAGCCTTCCACTCATGGAGAGGCAGGGGACAAGGACAGTTTGATGGATGGTGAAGATCTTCATTCACACCAGTATGACTAAAACTCTCTTAGGCTGAACCCAGGTGCTATGTCACTGAAAAAGAAGCAAATTAAGCACAGAACTGAAGTCTGAAAGTTTCAGTTATCCATAAGGGCTCTATGTGTTGGGAGACATCTCCTCCCCATGGAAAGTATTAGATTAATGAAGAATTTCATTGCTTAGTGCTTCTCATTTTTTGTTCTCTGATTAGCCCAGGATTTTTCCCTCATTGTTTCTGTGTGCCTCACAGCACATTCTCATAGATGAGGCATTTTAAATGGGACTGCCACTTTGGAAACTGTGCTTCCATTTTCTAAACCATTTCCTCCCAGAAAAACCACACTTCTGCATTGTGTTTGAGACAGACAAGTCATACCTAAGACTGAATTGTTCAGAAACAATTTCCATAATAAATATTGGTCTACCCCCATCATGTTAATTTTACTGGTGAAGCATGAGGGTTTTTTTTTCATTCTATTCTATTTTGCCAACATGGTTAAAAAATAAAATCTTTAAAAATCATGAAGTGCAAAAACTCCAAACAAGACCAAGTGCAAGTCCCAGAACAAGAAGAAAAAGTGATTCTCCTATGGAACATCTATTAAATGTTCAGTATTTAAATTCCAGATCCAAGAGCATTCAGCTTCTCCCTCTCACTTGGAACATTTGAAACAACAAAAAGCAAACAAACAAAAGCTAAGCCAGCTTGTACATATTTTTATTTCTGGGCAAATATTAAGAACTCAATGAGAAATCTGGAACACTAAGCAGGTATTGCCCTTGGCTGTACATTTCTGTTTGTCTTGAGTTAATTCCTAAGGAGGTCAAACCATGAAGAACTCAGTTTACACATCAAGAGTAAAATTCTTTGCAGAACATGTGTGAGTTGCATACCAAGGGATAGTGCTCAGAGCTGCCACACTGAGTCAGGAAAGTTTCACACAATGTTTGGGGAAAAGTCAGAGCCAGTCCAATTCCTGGCAGAGCCACCATATGGAGTTTACTGCAGTATCATACATTTTGGCCACTCCACACAGCTCTGCTGCCAGCAATGATAGACTGAAGTGTTTCTTTACAAGCTGCATTCCTAGAAGCAAACAGTAAATCCTGGCCAGAGAGGGTCAGACAGCTCCTCTGAATCTTTATAATAACAACAGGAACAAAAGAAAAACATCACATTTCAACAAACACTTCAGCATCCAAAATAGTGGAAAAAAATTAAAGAAGAGTATAAATTCCAAGCACATGGCATGGAAAGGAAAAAGATACCCAAACTTATTTAGTCATGAATGCTTCTCTTGATTCATTATGACTTGTCAGTGTGGTCAAAAAACCCAACAGGCAGACATCTGTGAGAGATCCTTCAACCTCCTTAAGCCTCACACATTATTGCATGCCTAATTTATTGAAGTACAGATAGAAAATAGGAAGGCAGAGACAGGAAGTAATAAATGCTGCAGAATCCATACTTGGCATGGATGTCAGGTACCTCACACAGGAACAGCTGCAGTGGAAGAGCTGCTGAGCTCTGAGCAGATCCATCTTTGCTCACTGCAAGTGCCCAGAGCCAGGCAAGGCCAGGGCTGGATCTGCCTGGGGTGGCTCACCAGGCTGCCCCACTGCACACTGTCCCCTCCCTTGTCCTCAGGAGCAGCTCTAACCCTGGAGCCATCTGGGAACCAGGTTTGGCTGGATAACCCTGTTGTGGGCCACAGGACTTCACAGTGGTCAAGGATCCTGAGCACACCCTCTTCTGCCAAAAAGGCTGCAAGTACTCCCTCCACCACAGCTGCTCCCACTGTGAACCTCAGCTTAAGAGATAATTCAATTGCTTTTATGTTTTTAAATCAACAGTTTACACGTTTACTTGTGATGACTTAATTTAGCTGAAGTAAATCTATGATTTCTTCTAAAGTTCTTTCAAAGGAGGTGTCAGGTGGTAACTGTTTACATTTCCACTCTAGTCCAGCTGTTTACTGCACATTGCAAAACACAGATGCCTCTGAAATGCACTCATGTAAACCAAATGCAAACCCATTACAGCCAGTGCAGAGACTGGCACTGCCTACCTTGAGTTTGGGATCAGACTCTACAGCTATGTCCTTTTATCCTGGTTGTTTTCTTTTCTGTCAAATTATTTGCCTCTGAGTTGAACTGAAGACTGTCAAACAAATTCTACCTTTAAGCTATCAGCTCAGCAGCTGTAACAGATCTTAAGTGACCAGACTAGAAGAGAATGGGAAAAATGGCAGAACATAATGTATTATTGACTTTTCCTGCATTTAAGATGAAATTTGGAAGGTTTAATTGATTTCTACATCTGTCATTCTTATCTAAACTTCTTATGTAAAAATAATGGCTAAACTCATGGGATTTGACTTGTGAGGAAGGAATCAACACTAGGACATCACTCTTGGGAGTACTTGCACTTTTTTGTGTATGTAACACCTACAGTCTGAGGAGTCACCAAAATAAAATTAACACAGTAAAATTAATCAAATCCAGCAATGAACAAAATCTCTATCTGTCAAGGCTCTGGTCTGGATTCTCTCCTGCAGCCACAGGACTTTTGCTACCTTTGGCTTCTCACATGTGTTTGGTTTTGGGTTTGTAGAGCATCCCTCTACAGCAGCAGCAAGGCAATCCAAAAGACTCTAAAATTCCAAAAAGTGCCTCTTAAGGCCTCATGGTATTTAAGAAGACAGAAAAGAAACAAAGACCATCTGTTACTTCAAGCTAAATAGCAATGAAGGTATCTACACATTAGGAAAATTACCAAAAATTGAACTGTCATTCACAACTACATCCCCAAAACATCAGTTTCAGTGCCATCTTCATTAGTTTTTCTTTTAGTACACTAAATAGTATAGAAATCTTCCTGTAAAATGGTAATTTGGTATTTATTAGCACTTCTTATAAAACTGAGACAAACAAAAATTTTTAAATAACCAGCCTGGACATTAAAGTCTGACTAACACATTTCTGACTAACTGCAAAAGGAGCTGAGCTAAATATGCAGCACGGCTGACATATCTGCATGTTGGTTCAGCTCTTCACTGACAGAAAAAAGAAACCAGCAAACAAAACCCCCTGCTAATACAAGTCATTTAGCATTCCTTACCTTGGAACCTGCCAACATAGTCCCCAGCATTTTTGTTCCTTTTCCAATACCAACCACTGCAAAGACAGAAGAAGAAATACAACTTCAAAACAGCCCTGCAGTTCCTTTTTTCAACACCATTCAATACTAAATATTATGCTAGTCAGAAACTCAGCCTTTCATGCTCTGTTAGCATATGAAGAGAGTCAACACTTTTTTGAGAAAGCATCTCTGATGTTCAAACAACATGGAACTAGTGAAAGGAAAACAAGTCTAAAGCAAAAGATAAATAACCTTCATCTATTGTTAAAATACTTTAATTCAACTGCTACATTTATTTATCTTTTAATCACCAAAGAAATGGAGAGTGCAATTAACATTGCCTCTGGTTTGATGAAGGTTATGGCTCTCCAGTAATGAATGAACCCTTCATGGTAACCAAATAGTCCTTTTAAAGGTTGACAGTGACCAAGAGTAATACAGCCAAGACAGCATCACAGAATTGTTTATCAGACTTGCAGGAAGAAAGTAAAATAATCAAAATGTCCAACTGCTTCTTACTGTGCATGTAGAGATTACAGTTATTTCAATCCTAACACCAGTATTCTAAAAAACAGCAATCAGTCAGCTTTTCATAAAAGAAAGACAGAAAAAGAGCTCTATTTTATATTTTACCTCAAAGCTTTTTACAAGATGCTTGCCTTTAAAATGCTTTCCTATTGATTTTTCCACATAACAGCAATCCGAAGAAAATTTTAGAAGGAAATTAGTTTTGTGTACAACTCTCAGAATGTGTAACAGCTTATGTACTTTATTTTAATAAAACCAGAGGAGTGAAGGGAGCTTTCAGGAAATCAGCTTCATGTTAATCAGGAGCCAGGATGGAAAACATCAAACGGAAAATGAACTTTGAAAAAAAATTTTTTTTTTTACTTGTGTTCTAATGCTTCTCAGTTTTTATGCTCTGAGACCCATTAGAGTCCTCCTTGTTCTCAATTACTGCTCCTCTTATTCCTGAGGGTTTTCAGTCACACATGTGCTTGTGCTCTCATGCATCTTCAGTTCAACCTGTTCCTGTTATTTGCCAGATAGGGAAGAGCTGCAAGAAGGCTGAGAAAAGGAGATAAGCACACAGATAAGACTTTCTAACCAAGCACTTTTCCTGCAACATGATGACATAACTGAACACAACTTCAACAGCTGAGCTGAAATTCACTGAAGAGTGTCAGGAGAATCAATGGAATAATTTTAAAGAGACACCGAATGCTTTTGTGAACAAGATACTAACAATTTTCTCCATTAATCATCAGCTTATGGAGAATGTGTTATTGAACAGTGACATAAACCCCATGTGAGAGACTACACTGAATGTAGAAAGATTTAACTGAATTTTTATTTTTTTATACTTCTTCATATTTTCTTCTACTGTGGAAACATAATTCATTACTGCCATATAAAAACAAACCAAACAAAATTCCCATTACACACCAAGAAACAGCAAGCTGGAAGCACAGCCCTAGAATAACACCAAAAGAAAATATGCACCAAGACTTGACCTTGCCTTTCTCTCACATGTCACAGAGCACTGACCTCTGCCTCCAAGGCCCTTCCTCATTTGCATTGGCTGTCAGTAAGAGAAGAAATTTAAAGCATGTTTTCTGATAAAGAGCACTGCTCAGTGATTGGCAGTACACCTGGCACACTAAGCAGGACTCTGCACCAATTAATTCCCAGGACAAAGCTACAGACAGGCAGTGCATAAAACCTGGGAAACAGCAGTACAGATCACAAAGGGTTTCAGAAAATTTAACACTTTTGTCATGCTCCTGTGCATGAGGAAGGAAAGCTTCCTGCTCCACCACTCCATCCTGGAAAGCAGCACACATATTCTGAATAACTTGTTTCTCTTGTATCCTTCCCTGCCTCCTTACCTGAACACACAAGAAATCTGGGCACAATCCCCTTCCCACTCCTCTCCAGTTTCGTCCCTTCCAATGTAGCTACCATTGATTTGTTCCTGTATGTTTTGTATGGCAGTGAATGAAAGATCCCATGCCTTTTTTCAATCCACCCACAGCTGATGAAGGTGATGTGCTTCTCCATCTACACCAAGCACATCAAGCCCAAGCATTTTTGTCATGCCACAGAAGCAGGCTTTGGAGACTGCTGGGTATCAGAGCAGTTGGAGAAGCAATTAAAAAAGCACAAGTGATTTTGCTTTTCCTATGGATCAATGCTGTTGACTTTGCACAGTGAGAAGCAGCATGTTCAAAGGGAACACCTGTGTAAAATGCTTTTTCAGGAATGCACACTGAATTCTCTAGTGAGTGGCCACAGAGTACAGGAAATGCAAACCCAACCAGGCAGTGCTCCTTTCTGACCCAAGAATGTCACATTCTGCCAGGTTCACAAGTGACAATTACCAGCTACAGACCTCCAGCAACACTTGTAGCAACCAAGCTCCCCCTGAAGCTGAATCCTTCCCCAGAGAAGTCATTCATGAAAACTCTGAGCATTCACTTTCAGGGCATACTCAGAGTTGTACCTGTTTATTTTCAACTGCAAAAATGTATTGCTGTTATTTCTCCAAGCCAAGGAGAGCTACAAGGTTATGATCTGAGCAAGCTGCAGTCTGCATGTTACTTATCAATAAAACTGCTGGTGACAAAGTATGATGTGGGAACAATCACATCCACAGCTGAGGTTTTAACACCAGCAATTGACACATCCTGTTCTTTACAGAACAAAAAAAAAATCAATACATGGATTGCTATCAAAATTAAAATTAAAAAATACATCTTTAAAGATTCTTTTTTATGAAGCAAGACAGGACAGGTACCCAAGCTTTTCTGTGCTGAGCTTCAAAAAAGCAGCAGTTGGAATTGTTCTTATACATCTTTTTTTTGGTAAGTATTAGCAGCCCTAAAATCTCCCTCCAAATCCCACAATAGCATTACTTTGAGACAAAATAATTCGACAGATTATGATGACTATAAATCCCCAGCTTAAGTTAAAAAAGCATCAATTTCTCAGGTGCTTTACAATTCATTACACAAGAGTTTGTATTTTACCACATGTAATAACCCAGAAGTTATGTGAGGATTTGGAAGAGAGGAGAGAAGGCAGGAAGGAAGAATACAGCCTTCTGTTATGAAACATGTTACATGCATGTAGAACTATATGCACAGGAAATTTAACCCAGACCATTCTTCCACTGTAATCAGTCCCTCCCCCAGAACCTGCCATGTGTAGCCCAAATTGTTCCTCCACCTGACTTCATGCAGGGACGAAAATGTCTCCTGAAATCATATTTTGGTTACTATAATTGTATTTTTCATTACCCAGAACTCCTGTGGCTGCACTGTCCAAAGTTCCTCCATGTCCAATTTTCAACACCTGATTTCTTTTGTTCCCTTTTGTTTGCACACCAGCTTCTGCAAATAGAAATTAAAAGGAAGCATTATAGAATAACCTTTGAATGTAGGAAAAATGGCACACATTTCCAGACTGCTAAAGAAAATAAAAACCAAATATTTAAACTATTAATTAGCAGTGTAGAAATTACTGTACTGCTGAAGACCTATGATTAATTTAGATTTACTCCTGCAAAGGTATTTGTAAGGTATTTTCACTACATGCTAATGAAATCTCAGATACCATGACAAACAGATTTTTGGAAAGTACTGGTAGCAAACCTGTGAAGTTCCATTAGCAAAGCGTGGAAGAACCAACAGCAGAGTTCCCAAAACATCTATTACACACAAATTTTATACTACATAATCTGAGCCAATTCTTCGTGTATTTACTGCTTTATATTGGGACGTGTTCATTTGCATATTCACAACCCTATGGCAACTCCGCAGTGGACTGAACTTATTCACTGCTGCTTTCAAGCTGTCAGTGTCCCAACCCAGCAAACCACCTATGACGCCAAGATACCATGACACCAAGAATTTTGCAGAGTCCAATACCCCTTATTTATTAGTATTAAATATGACAACTGGTCTAAGCTCCTTTATCCATATCTATTATCTCTCCATTCAGGGAACCTGATTCTTCCATACAAAGTGCATGCCTACACTACAGTTCACTACAGAGTAAATCAGGCTAAGCACTCACTAGTCTGAAAGTATGTTCTCTCTTCATCAGCAAGTGCCCAAAAGCCCAGACTAGATGATCAATTCCCCATACCCATTATAAAAAAAAATCTAGGCCATAGTCGCTCACACCTTTGCAATGATCTCACTTTTCTCAGATATTTCCCTAATATCTGACATACAGACTTCCCAGCACTCAGAAAGAGCAGTTTCTGCAGACTGCGTCCAGGACTCTCAAACTTTTTGAAACACCACGTTTTCCCTCCTTTGGTGACATTTTGTTTAATGGCACTAAGCAGTGGGACCGCAGCAGAACATCGTGCCGGTGCTGTGCCGCAGAGATGCTGCAGGCACCGATCTGGCAGATGGCACACGCTGTGCCCGGGACCCTGCCCTGCCCTGCCCTGCAAGCAGCCCGGGACCCCCTGCCCTGGCCCCGCAGGACTGGAGCTCCCGGCTGGGGCAAACTCATCCCCAGCCAGCCTCAGGGCTCCGTCCGGCTGTACCCTGGGCGGCAGCAGGGGCCTGGCACAAGCGGTATGTGCTCAATGTGGGGTCACAGCTCACCGTGCAGTGTGACATCACTGTCTGCCTGGGACAGTCTTTCCTTAAAGGCGTCTAAGGAAACAACACCACGTCCCTGCGCCACCCATCCCAATGCTTAATCGCGCTTTCTGTGAATAAATCGCTCCCAACGTCCAACCTGAACTTCCACTGGCGCAGCGAGCCAGGGACGGCTCCATTCTCCAAGGTGGGCCACGCCATGGCTATGCACTACTACCAAAACAAACAAAAAAACGCACAAAAGAGAAACTAAACCCCGCTTATGCTCCGGTTTCCTAAGCGCTGAGCAGAGGGTGAAGTGGCTTGCCGGGAGTTGTGGTGGTTTGCCGGGAGTTGCAGCTCCCGCTCCCCAAGGACCGCACACACCCGGCCCCATCCCGCAGCCGCGCCGGGCAGGGCGCGCCTGGCCCGAACTCTCCGGAGGTGCGGCCCGGCCGCCGCCGCTCACCTGCCAGCAGCCTCTCCTTGAGCAGGTTGAGCACGGCGGCCGAGGTGGGTCCCTTGGGCTTGCGGACGGCGAAGAGCCCGCTGAGCGAGAAGAGCTTGTCGGCCGCGCGGCCCAGCGCGGTGCCGCCCGCCTCCCCCGCCATGCTGCCGGCAGCGCGCCGGCCGGGGCCGCCGGGAGCCGCGGCCGCGCGGGCGGGACGCGAGGGAGGAGCCGTGAGGGAGAGCTTTAAGGTCGCTTGGAGAATAGCCGGCGAGGGTATCGCCGGATGTTTAATGTGAAAACGAAAGTAAATTCGTTGCTAAAATCTAACATCAATCAATCTAAAATCTAAACCAAAAACCAAGCCCAAAATTATCTGGGGGCGGCTCCACCAGACACAGAGCGATTTGCAGGCGTCGCTGGGGAAATTCGCTGACCAGTGCGTTGCCATACCTTCCATGGCCAAATGGAAAGAATTGTATTCTGACAGGACAAGAGGACGCGGTTTCAAGCTGCGCCAGGGGAGGTTTAGTTTGGGTGTTAGGAATTTCTTTGTAGAAAGGGTGATTAGACGCTGGAACGGACAGCACGGGGAGGTGGCAGAGTCACCGTCCCTGAGGCGTTCAAGGAAAGGCTGGATGTCGCACTCAGTGCCACGGTCGGGTTGACACAGTGATGTTCTGTCACAGGTTGGACTCGATGATCTCCGAGGCCTTTTCCAACCTAATTGATTCTGTGATATTCTGCTGACTGGTTGCTGTGTCCATTAATCTTCCTGCCTCTGTAGGTGTTTTAATGTAAAGAGAGCATTGGGAAGGCTTCTCTTGGATCTCTCGCCTCCATTCATAAGTACAGTGTGTGGGTTTCCTCTCCACGTCTGATTTGTGCAGACTCGTTTCTCTGACAACACTCCCAAGGCATCTAAACAAGTCATGCTTGAGCAAGGCACCAAGAGCTTGGATGCTTCATTCATGGATTTAATTTATTCATTTGCAAGAACCTGCAGATGAAACCATGAAGAAGCACCTAAAAAAAATACATGTCTAACTAAGGACTGTGCATGTTCCCAGATGTTTCCAGAGCTTGAGAGAAGCAAACCTTCCTGCTGAAGTCAATGTCTGTCTCTGTGCAGAGCGGGATCAAGGTCCCTGTGTGGGTTTTCAGCTGTGCTGGAGTCAGTGGTTCATTCCATGCCTTCCCCAGGGCTGCACAGGGCACAGAGCTTCCAGCTGCACCTGCCACCACTTTGTCCATGAGATCGGGAATGGCTTCCTGTCTCCAGCAATGCCAACCAGCCTCCCCTGCACTTCTCTTGTGCATATTATTATCCAGGCAGCTTATTTGCTTGGATCTCATCTGCAGAGCTGTAATGTGGCTGTGGAAATATTCCCTGTTACCATAAGCTGCGAGGGTGGATTCCCTGGTGAGCGGTGCAGGTCTTTGCAGGACATGGAAGTGAGGTGTGAGAATCCTTCTCTGGAAGATGAAATGGCAAAGCCACACTGGGGAAAGAATTCAACAGGAAAATTACTACTGATTTACATGGAGTTAAAATCCAAGCACTGTGTGGAAGGCATATTGTAAATGGTGATAGAGCTTTTGTTGCAGGCATGGTTTAATCAGGTTGTTTGAAAACCAATTCTAGCCAATTCTCTGCTAAAAAGCTCTTGAACACAGATTGCTCTGCAAGTGGGCTCCAGCAAAACTATTTAAACATTACCATTAAGAGATGGCGTTAGTGAGCTTCCAGGCAGGGAGGTTGCAGCACAAGGACTGAAATGCAAACCTGTCACACTGTCATGGGCAGCAATATTGTTGGGCAAGCAGACTGCTCTGAACACATCACAGAGGATCAGAGGGAGATTATATAGAAATGAGAGCTCCACTCTTGGCGTAAAGTTGTCCTTAATGCATCTCAACTTTCCAAAAATGCAGTAGCAGACAGGCCCTGTGACAAAACTCCCTGTGCTGCCTTCTCAGGATTGACTTAAGCTGAGAAGAGTCTAAAATGAGGCCATTAACCTGACACAGGCACAGGCTATGAGCTGAGGGCAGTGTCTGACCCCCAGCGCTCTTCCAGTAAATGGCTATTAGCTCTTTTGGGATTTTTTGTTTGGTTTTGGTTTGTTTTTAGGGGATTTTTATTTGTTTGGTTTGGGTTTTTTTTCTAAGGGAAAGATTTCGGGTGTTTAAAGAAACTACCCCCACTCTTGTTTTCAGTATTGAGCGGGAAGTTTTTGCAGGTCTCCCAGACTTCTGCATCCTCAATTAAAACACAACACTTTGTAATTGAAGCAGATGGAGTCTTTGAAGGCTTAGAAAGAAGAGGTTTGGTTTAACTTCAGTGGGCATTGGATAAGGGCCCAAAATAAAAATTGTGAAAAACAATTAATGACTGCCAGTGTTTTAGTTTGCTGGAAGTGTATGTGTACATAAATCTCAAATGGCTCTTTGTGGGGCAAGGTTATTCAGCATTCAAAATGGTGGGAATGATGTACCAAACTGTTCATCTCAAGGGCTTTATTTCAGATTTTCCTTGTGTTGCTTGTGATTAAAAGTCATTACCATCTGCTCAGTAGCTTATTTGAAATGAGATGTTTATTTCCAACGATTCCCAGCCAAGCCAGGATTCACAATGACCAAAAGCATGATTAGAGTTATTGACTTTATTTGCAATACTAATAAAGTGGCTCAGCAAACGGCTGAAAGGATGATGTTGTTTTGTGCATGGAACATGACAGGTCTGGTAGAGGCAGCCCAAATCCTCCCCTCAGGTCACTGGAACTGCACAAAGCAATGCCTTGAGGACCTGGTGCAGTTGTACAGAAGAGATAATGGGTAGTAGCTGCTGTACATGCAAACAGCAGATGAGTGCTATTGCAGGAGAGGAGAAATCCCTGACCTGCTTGTGCAGAACAGATGCAACACTTCCTTCTACCTCCCCCAGCAAGATGTTCCCTGCTTTGTGTGCCTTCAGACTGGCTGTGGATGAAGTACTGCTCACAGACCACAATGCAGAAGGAGCTGGTGCTGCATTACAGCTTTGGAAGCAGACTCAGCAGCAAGAGCCCATTCCTGTGTTAGTGCTCATTTCGTGATTCCAGCTTCATCATCTGTACCCAGACAACTGCAAGGAGGTCAATCACAGCTCAGGGTCTCTGTAAAACAAAGAGTTGCAGCTGTTTGAAAGTTCGGGTCACAATCACCTAAACAGCTCCCTTGTCAGACAGAGGGATTCTGTCTGGAATAGGGACTATCAAAGCCTGAAATATTTAATTTTTTTCCCTTTAACTGTTCCATGTGTTTGGATAAGAAGCTGTAGATAAATAACAGCAATTTGTTTGTTCATTCAGTGCCATTCAGACAGGCATGAAGCACATCATTCATTCATCATTTGTGAGCAGCTTTTCTGAACAAGGCAGGTTCTTCAGGATCTTGTTGAACTGCAGTAGGTTTGAAAAAAGAATGGCAGCTACAGAATGTGAGGGAAGGACAGAACTACCCACAGCATATACCAATCCTAGGTTTGGCAATTAGTCATTCTCCCCATAAAAACAGATTCCTAAACTGCAAGTATTTAATGAGCAGATTTTTGCATTTTGTCCAGAAGATCAGCAGTCAATGTTTACACCAATCTGGATTTTAAGTCTAGACTTATTATTTTTAGAAATATTTTCTTTAGATTTTTATGCTGGATTCTCTGTTATTAGTGGGATTCTTTTTTATTGAGAATGGTTTAGACAAGAGGAGGTTTTGGTGAGCTGATTCAATGCAGACTTAGAGTGCCAATTTGAATTGGACTAGACAGACTACAGTAGGATCCAAATGTTTTTAGCCATTTCTTCTTTATGTGAAATGCAGTTTTGGCAGTCAGCTAAATGAGAAAACAGCAATTTTTCCTGACCACTGGTACATGTAGCGATACAGAAAAATATGACAGAGTTTTCAATGGCTCCTTGTGGACCCTTTATAAACATATTGTATTAGTGAGGATAGATCTGGAAAGTTACTTTTAATCTCTGATATGTGCCCAGGTCTGTCTGTAATGACAGAGGACTATGCGTGCTGTGGAATCAGAAGGTACAGTGATGCTGAGGGGAAAAAAAAGAAAATACATTTGGCAGATCTTTGATTTTTCTGCTAATAAAAGTCTCAGTGGGATTCTCAATTCTTGTTTAAATTCACAACATCTCTTGCTACAGATTCTGTCAAAGAAGTAATTTTCCATCAACCTGCATTGTAATTAGATATGATGAAGAACTCACCAGATGTGCATGTGGAAGAAGGCAACATATGAGAGATTGTTTATATAGACAATTTAAGTCCAACCTGCCCCTCTGTAAATTCAGAACATAAGGTTAAAAGGATCTAAACACTTTTACAGCTGAGAAGCTGTAATGCCACAGCTACAAAATAAATTCAGCAATGAGTTGATCTGGAGTGTGTTTTCTTAAAAAATACTCAATCTTGATTTGGGGATTCTGGGAGACAGGGAAAAAATTAGATCTGTATCTTCACTAGCAGTTCAAATTTATACTTGCTTTCTCAACTGGCTTTGTACAATTTCAGCATTCAGATAAATGTGTTAATTATCAGCCCTTTGGCAACTCTTTCTCATCTTGTGAGCACACATACAGACTCTGATTAATGGTTTATGATTAATGTGCAGAAAAGAACACACCTGAGCTCCTCTAGTGACCTCTTTTCCTCAGCTATTCACTTGAGGGAAGGAGGAGATTGTACCTCCAGGAAAAAAACAAAAAAAACCAAAAAAAAAAACAAAGAAAACAAACCACCTTCTAGATTTATCATTGAACTCATGTTAAAGTTAAATAAATGTTGTGTAATTTTCTGGGCACAAGAAGGCTGAAGTCTATGGAGGCCCCACCTGTGGAGGGTGCAAAGCTTCTCTCCCAGAGCCCTCCTGCAGGTCCAGGTTCCGTGGCTGTCCCTGCAGTGGTGGCAGAGCCATCTCCTCTGCAGAAACAGGGGCAGCTCTGTCCCAGTGCCACTGCTGGAAGCCTGAGAAATGGCTGGGGAAACAAGAATGGCACTGCTAGGAGTTTCCTTTTACCCTGACATAACTCCCAGCTTTTTGTGGTCAGCAGCTGGAGGTATTTTTAGCCAAAGCTGGAACATGGGCCATTATATTTGCCCTTTACC